TCTTTCCCTGAATATATGTAAACTTTAAATACATACACTATCCTATGCCAAGGAACTCCATCCTTCAGCTACATGTTATATAAAGATGTGTAAAATCTGCTTTTATATAATGCGAATCTTACTACCTTCACTCTGTAACCTGTGTTTATTGCACTGAATGAGACTGTGAACAATCAGCTCATACTTTGCACTTTATTTGCATGCAATTTCACCTCCCATTTTACTGATCATTCTCAGTCAATCACTCTCCTAAGATCCTCCTGCAATTTCTCACAGACCCATCTTCACTACCAGAAATAATTTAGTATCGTTGGCAAATTTTTGTCACTTCACTGTTCACAACCTTTCCCAGATTGTCTGTAAATACATTGAACAGCATGGCTTTTGGCCTAGATCATTGTAGGACTTTAATGGTAAGCACTTTCTCTGCCCATAAAAACTAGGCATTAATTTCTCACTTGCATTCCCTGTCTTTAACCAAACCTTGTGTTCATATAAAGAGCTTTCTTGTGTCAGGGCAGATTAGCTTCTTTAAAATCTGATGGACGTTGCTGAAAGGCTTTTGATAATTGAGATAGGCCACACTAACTAGATTTCATTTATCCATATCCTTATTGGCTCCTGCAGGGAGCTCCAAGAGATTTGTGGGCATGACCTTCCCTTACAAAAGCAATTTTATATTTCTTCCTCAACATATTCTCTTCTATTCTTTATTAGAGTTTCAACTAATCTACCCATGACTCATTAGTCTATATTTCCCCACTTCTCCCTGGATGGCACTAAATAAAAGCTGGCACCAAATTTGCCTTCTTTCAGCTGTTAGCTATCAAGACAGTTTTCAACAGGTACTTACACACTGAAGCTAATAGTTTACTTAACATCTTGGATGCCTTTTCATCTTTCCTTAGTCCTGACAACTTGTCACTCTTCAACTCCTCTATTTTTCCCATAGTCTATTCTCCTGGTGTTCCAGCTTGCAACAAGCTTCAATCAGACCCCCACAAAGAAAGTTTCAAGCACAGAAAGCCCAGTTTCTTCCTCAGTCAACACAGTTGCAAAAAATTAATTTTTCTTCACTGTTACAGACTGATCTCCAAGCACACCTTTTGCACTCTGGTCATCCACTAGCACTGCAGACTACCCGGAAGACTGTCTTCCCTTGATGAGTTTAGAAAAGTTTTATTGCTCATATTCTTATTAAGATTCCCTTTGTGAAGGCGAGCCAAAAGGTTAATCTGACAGGGTAAGTATATCAGAAGTCCTATATAAAACTGAAATTCAAATGATCCCTTTGAAATTCAAAGATGGGTTCTGAGAACTGTCAGTTCCTGAAAAAAATATGTTCAAAGGCTAAAGAATGGAATTCAGAGAACGTCACTTATGCAAACCAAATAAGGACAGCAAGCCCAGAGCACCCACTGCACTCTGTCCTGGCACTTACCAGGCTCTGCTGCACCCCAGTGTGTGAAGGAGACGGCTTCACCATTGGCCCAACTGAAAGTGCCTTGGTCATCCACATCAGAGAGACCGAGCCAGAAATATTTCTCAGGCCTCAGCCCAACAAGACTAGTCAAATAAGCTTGTTCGTATCTGTAAAAAGGGTCATAATAAATGTAGGTGAAAACAAAATCATTTATTCAGATTGTATTTATCTAATCTGATGATGATTCCCTTTCTCTTTCTCCATGGCAAAATGGATGATGGAGGCTTTTTTCATGTTTTTGTTTCAGATTAGGGAAGAGGACCTTGCAATGGAATTATGATTCCATGTAAATTATCAAACAAAAATGAGACTTTTTTGTTCAATTCATCTGTAATTTAGATAATTTGTAATTCGATATTGTGTTAGAATTGAGAACTACTTCAAGAGTATTTTAGAACATACAACCTTTACCTATTTAAAAGCCAAGGAAAATTCATTGTCATACCTACTTTCCACTGTGGCGAAGTAACCTTCTTCCCCTTCACAAGTTTTGTTTGCTTCTGAAAATGTTGCTGGTACATGTCCAATAAAATAGCAGTAGAATCCATATCTTCTCCAGCCCTGTAACATGGTTGCAAGATCTCCACATGAGTTTAAATAATTGTGATAGCATGTGTTGAGTGAGTGATACAATTTAGAAATGAATGAAGTACAATAATCATGAATATTCATGAAACAGCAAGTCTTTACAGTAAAATTACAGCTTCCTTCCAAGCAGTTTCTGTAGATGTCTTAATAAAGTTTAAAATAACTGAGAGAAGAAGAAATTTTATGATAAAATGTAATGACTTGACTTCCAAATAATTCTAGATTTTTCTGAGAAAAAGTCTCTATTTGATCTGGAAAATTAACGTTCCATTCTGGAATACTTACTTTTTTGCAGCCTACATCAGTGCTTTCCTTTTCTCCAGCTGTTTGAGGTATAGGTTTTCTCTTACAAATATAACCAGCTTTCTTCTCACAGACATAGTCTGCCCAATAGCCATCCTATGTGGAAGGAAAAAGAAAGAAATAGCAATGAGATGAGAAGGATAGTTTTAAGAACACTGTTCATTGTCTTTCTCTTTCTAACTTTGATACAGAAATTTTTTTTTCCTTATACAATCTTCCTAATGATAGTAAAAATAAATCTCCTCACATTAAAAATAAATCTCCTCAAATAAATCTCCTCACATTCAGTGAAACAACGGTGTGGCTTATGTAGTACAGCTACTCCTAGCAGTGATGACAGGGGATGAGGGTGCAGAGTTTCCAGGCTCCTTTTTGGCTAGAGCTGGTTCCAGATGGATTTTATAGGGCTGTCACACCACAAGTCGTGCTATGCAGTAAAAGGGCAGAGCAGAAGGGTCAACGAGCAGGTGCAAAAGGGGTAGCGGGGATCCGCACATGCCACCATTGTGGCATGTGAAAAGAAACAAGAAAAAGGTTGTTAAATTAGGAGTTCATCCTCCAAGTACATTCAGAGACCTTCTTCATAGTCCCAGGAAGCTCAGTGGTGACCTTTAGCTGAACTTTAGGAGAAAATTTCACAAGTAAAGCAGTAATGCGTTCTTAAAAAAAAAGAAAAAAGAAAAGAAAAAGAAAGAAAGAAAGGAAAGAAAGAAAAAAGCTGATATCTGAGTCTCATTCTGTGTCTTCATATCCCCTTTTCAGGCCCTAACTAGTTGCTGAAATAGTAGACCTTTTTTTTTTTTTAAGAAGTTAATTGCAATATTTAAGTCAAACGTATATAGAAATTTTACCTGTCCCTTGATAAGTACACAATCTTCTGGCCTGTTGTTTGTGCTGGATGGCTCTCCCAGCTGCCATTTTGTGTATGTCACAGGAGTACCGTCACTCCATTCAAAATACATTTGAATCTTATGATCGTTCAGTCCAATCCATAGCTTATCTGTTGGTTCTAAAACATGGGAACATAGAACTAGAAAAGACCTCTTATATCACTGAATCCTTTCCCCAGCAACCTCAAGCTCTAGAACATATAATCCCTTTCATAAATCTATGAGCATAAACTTACTTAGTGGGCTACATGATTCTTTTATAAGATAAAATGTTCATGTACATATTAGAATAAAGACAGTATGCTTAGGAAACTTAGGCTGTAGTAAAGTCCTTGCACTGAATCAAAAAATTTTGCTTCTCTTCTTCACAGCAGTGGGAAAATTACTAGCCTAATGCAAATGCACAACGGTGATATGATAGAAATGTGTGAACAGTAAGTTTTTAGGTTTGGCGGTCAGATTTTAAAATACTGTTTTATCTAACATTGGATGTGAATGTTTTAAATTTCTTTCAGCAAAATGAGAAAAGCTAGGGAATGCCCTAAGCCCAGTCCCCAAGCCCTAGATCATTTCTGTAGGTAAAAAGTTAAAACCGAAATTCCAGCGCCATCCAAAACTCAGCAGGAGAAGGCCCTCATCAAACCAATCTAACTTTGAAGCTGGCCCTGTTTTCAGCAGAGGCTAGACCAGATGAACGCCGGGGTCTCTTACAATCTAAATCATTGCATGATCCTCTAGTTTTAGGTATTCTTACTGAAGAGCAATCAACCAAAATGAAGTAGACAGATAGACAGATAAGAAAGACAAGAAGACAAGACAGATAAATAGAAATACAGAGAAAGAAAGACAGAAAGAAAGACAGAAAGAAAGAGAAAAAAAGTAAAAGAAATGGAAGGATATTCACAATTTCTTCAGTAGTCACTAAATTAGGATATGAGACCAGAACCAAAAATTATAGGAAACAAAAAGTATCTCCTGGTAGGAACTAGCTGTGAGGATGGTTGGACACTAATTAGATAAATTACTTATGCTGAAAAAATAAATTTGTTTCTGTCTTGACCATCTTTCATTTTTCCTACAGTTAATTAGGGCTTTTACTACCTCTAACCATGAAAAAAGCAGAACAGTTAACAAGGCCAAAACATAGCAACATGTTTGCAGACTCCTCTTAGTTCTGTCAGGGGTATTAGAAAAGATGCGGTCAGATCAAGGTGACAATTTAGATCCAGTTACCCGAGTACGGCTCTTCAGAAAGCCCAAGCAATTTCACAGCAGACTGCCTGGAAATCACCTCAGCTGACTTTGCTGATTGCATCCATTTGGTGATTACCAGTGTAAAGAGCTAAACTTCTCTTTAATAGGTTTCTTCCATCACTTTTACAGAGCCCCATGAACTTGCTGATCCGGGTACTGGGTAACGGAGAAGACACAGGGAATGATTTAGAGCCACAATGTAAGTTTCCAGTGTGCACAGAAAGTAGTCCAACTACAATATTTTCCATTAAAAGACCTCTTTCAAACGAGAGGCAATATTTCAAAATACTTTTGCTGAGAAAGTCTCTTACCAGGATGACTGATATTCTCCTGCACTCATACAAGGCAAGGTACATGTCAGGACTGTAGAGTAAGTCTGCAAGTTGCAGACCACAAGGAGGCGTCAGCTTTGAAACAGAAAGTGCTGCACCACCTTAGCACTGCCAGACCTGTGGGTCCTTGTATTTCTTTGGTTGCAATCTTTCATGTTCATAGAATTGTTATACCTAAATTTATCCAAATTCTACTAGCTAACTGGTACTTTATCCATGTGGACATGTAGGCAAAGGGCACCTTGGAAATACTCACTGTACCCAAGCCGAGACACTATAAAGCTGTGTTCTTCAAGGTGATGGATGCTGGCCAGGTGACTGTCTTCCTTTTGACAGGAGGTCAAAGCTTCTTTCCATACTTTGATCTCCCTGAAGATCTTGTAACAGTGACCTACATATGGCACCCATCCATCTGGGCAAGTAATAGGCCCAAAGTCGCCTAGAAATAAATGTCAGTGTTTCAGAGGAGTTCAAATGCAATGCAAAGGACATTACATTGATAATATTTTCACTTATTCTGTGTAAAAGCTCTAAGACTAAGAATTTTCTCTGGAAATTGTCATTGTAATGAGACAATGTATACAAAACGCATCAATCATAAACATGATTCCGAAGTTGGTGGTTTTAACATGCAAAATGAAGAATTTTGAATAGAGATATTATTTAATACAAATTGTAAGGTTCTTATATGTTCAGACTGCTTTAAATGTTTCATGTTGCTGAAAGTCTTTCAGACTGTATTAATCTCAACAGCTTCTGTATTACTTTAGTACCTATTTGTTGTTTAACTAAACATCAGAAATTATCTGCAGCTGACATAGAATGCTTAAGAATTCTTAAAAAAAAAAAAAAAAGTATATTGATAGAGCAAGAAACATCCAGGCCTCTTTAGAACTAGCTCTACAAATAGGGAAACATCAACAGGAAAGTAGTTACTCACTTAAAATATCCTTATCTTTGCAATCTTTCTTCCTTTACATTTTGTTATTTTTACTTCCTTCCCCCTTCCGAAAATAATTTTCTAGTTTGTTCTCCCTTTTTATGTCCACTAGTCCAAAGGAGAGACTTGACTGTCAGGAACACTGACAGACGGATCACGTTTTCTGTTCTTTTCCTTTTACCTGTTTCATTCTGTGTGTTGTGAGACTGGAGATCCAGCCTACAAAGGGTGCAAGAGCTGTAAAAAGCGGACTCGATTAACAAAGAGGTGCACCTGCTCTGTGAAAATCCTGGCTGACAAAGTTTTTAGTTCTAATGAAGTTATCTTTGTCAACTGAAATACCATACAATTCAGCTAATAGATTCTATTTTTAATTACCAGCATTTATGAACATACCTGAGAGAATCAAGGTGGAGTTCCTTCTTTTACAAATGTAACCAAGTTTTTGATCACATTCCCAGTTTTGCCATTTAGCTTTCTTTTCAGGATTCAAAACTGCACAGATTTTTCCGGGTTCTGGAGATGGACTTCCTTTGGGAAAGGTACAAAAGGTACCAAAAAAGCGTGAACTCCCTTGAACACCAAGTAGTGCTCTAAGCTCTAAAACAGACAGCAAAAATCATTCCTGGTGAACTGACAACCCCAAAGACCATGTCTTTCACAGCTTCTGTGAGGACTAAGAGATCTTGTAGTGGGAATATCTGCATGTAAATATAGTATCATTTAAGTGGACATGAACATGTAACCCATTCAATCTTCTGACTTTTAATATTGCTTATGTTGCTGTAGGCCAGAATATCTACGTGAAGGGTAACTTTGCTTTTCAGAGACAAAATATTTTTGCAATACAAAGAGTTCTGGTTTATATTAATATAACTCCCAAGAAAAGCTAAAACACATATTATTTTGATGTAATGCTAAAGTCCTTCTTTCACTCATATCCAGATAACCAGAGAATAGAATTTAAATCTGTATTTGAGGCATATATACTTTATCTTCAGAAACAGGGAATCAAAGAAAGTCATAGCTACCTGGAGCCCAGTTTAAGTACCGGAAAGGACTGCCTCCAATCCATTCCCATCCGCTCCTCAAGTCCAGTCTGTTAAGTCCAATCCACAGTGCAGAATCTGTATTTTCCATTAATGCTAAGTAGCCAAAAGAAAATAAGTAAGCTGTCAATCACTTTTTTATAAGCAACAGTCATTAATAATGTCTATAGGAAGTTTGTTGTAATTCTTAAATAAAATACTACAAATATGTTCAGATACGGAGATAGTTGATAAACGGATATGTGCCAAAGCTTTGATCAATGTAGAATGCAAACAAAGAAAAATCTCTCTTAGTCTTCTTGTCATCTATTGCAAAATCAGCACAGATGAGATGTCACAGACCAAATTTAGGATGGAAGTTATATTGTAAAATAGCCTAATTTTTTTAGCAGCACCAGAATTATTTTAGTGGAAATATTTGCACAGTGTAAATGCAAATGCTCACACTAAGATTCTCAGAAGTCAAATTCATCACTAAAATAACAAGAGACTTGCCATTCCTCCAAAAATACTTGGGTAGGTAGAGCCATAATTTGGAAAATGAAGAATGACTGATATTCTTCAGTTCATCAAATGACTGAAAAAATTAGATGTCAAATTGCATTTAACAGAAAACATATCTTTCTTTTGTCACAAAGATATATCTTTTCTCTTATTTTCAGTTTGTTTTAAAAGTTGTTTTTAACCAATAGTGAAATTTTCATTTAATTTCCAGAAAATATTTCCTCTTTAAAAAAACTGCTAAACTTCAAAATGAAATAATGTTTCTAAATACAAAGCTAGAATGTTACACTTAGAGAATGTTGCAGTACTTTCACTGAATTTTGTTTAAACTTGTCAGTGATTTTGATACGAATTTGTAGTATCAAATAGATTTTGTTCACTTACTCCATATTTAGCACATAGACTTTGGCCAAAACCAGATCAGCTAGTTCTTGCTGTGATGATACACTGAAAAGATACTATATGTTAGTCAGGGTTTGGTTTTTTTCCTCACCTTTAAGATATATTTGTTCATGAATGTCAGTGATACTTAGTAATTCTGCATTCTGTTGCTGACAGCTTTTACTTGCTTGATGCCATGTGAGAGCTGATTCCAAGTTTATCTGATAGCGGACATTTGTTAAAAGATCTGTAGTCCAAGTGGTGTCTTCATCTGTGAGAAAAATAATTATTTTTGTGGTAACAGTGACTAGGCCAGAGAAAAATGAGTTATGGGTTCTCATTATACATGACATTCTCATTAAATGTCACAGTGCTGTTCCTTCAAGAACAGCTGAACTGAACTGAAAATGTTAAGAGCAGGATAGGGAAGGATGAAGTTAAAGCCTGTAAATTCACAAGTAGGTATATGTGGCACATGTTGCTTCCAGCTGAGTGAAGATGCATAATTCTTCCAAAAGGGCAAGAAGGAGGAGCCAGGCAACTACGGGCCTGTCAGCCTCACCTCCATCCCTCAAAAGGTGATGGAACAGCTAGCTCATCCTGGGTGACATCTCTAAGCATGCGGAGGACAAGAAGGTGGTCAGGAGTAGTCAGCACGGATTCACCAAAGGGAAAGTCATCTTGACCAACCTGATAGCCTTCTATGACGGAGTGACTGGCTGGGTAGATGAGGGGAGAGCAGTGGATGTTGTCTACCCTGACTTCAGCAAAGCTTTTGACACCATCTCCCATCATCCTCATTGGCAAGCTCAGGAAGTGCGGGCTGGATGAGAGGATGGTGAGGTGGATTGAGAACTGGCTGGATGGCCGAGCTCAGAGGACTGTGGTCAGTGGCGCAGAGTCTAGTTGGAGGCCTGTAGCTAGCCGTGTCCCCCAGGGGTCAGTCCCGGGTCCAGTCTTGTTCAACTTATTCATCAGTGACCTGCATGAAGGCACAGAGTGCACCCTCAGCAAGTTTGCTGACGATACTAAACTGGGGGGAGGGGCTGATACACCAGAGGGTTGTGCTGCCATTCAGGGGGACCTGGACAAGCCGGAGAGATGGGCAGAGACGAACCTCACGAAGTTCACAAAGGCAAGTGCAGGGTCCTGCCCCTAGGGAGGCATAACCCCATTGCACCAGTACAGGCCGGGGGTTGACCTGCTGGAAAGCAGCTCCGCAGAGAAGGACCTGGGAGTGCTGGTGGACAACAAGTTAAGCATGAGCCAGCAGTGTGCCCGTGTGGCCAAGAAGGCCAAGGGGATCCTGGGCTGCATTAGGCAGAGTGTTGCCAGCAAGTCGAGGGAGGTGATCGTCCCCCTCTACTCAGCCCTGGGGAGGCCTCCCC